CCTTCTGAGAAATGGAAGTACCTTCATGTTGAGACATCTCTGAGCACAGCTGGGCTGCAGGGCCCCTCACAGCTCTCTGTGTGTGTTGCAGGCCCGCCTGACGTGCCCCTGCTGCAACGTGCGCAAGAAGGACGCGGTGCTCACCAAGTGCTTCCACGTCTTCTGCTTCGAGTGCGTGAAGACGCGCTACGACACCCGGCAGCGCAAGTGCCCCAAGTGCAACGCGGCCTTTGGGGCCAACGACTTCCACAGGATCTACATCGGCTGAGGCTCTCAGAGCCCCTGCTGGTGCAGAGCCAGCCTCCCTCTCAGCTTCTGCTGCCTGAGCTGCAGTGTCTCCTGGGAGGTGCCTTCGGAGTCTCAGAAGAAACACACTTTGGATCTTGCTTCCTTTCTGTCCCTTTGGTCTTGCCCTCAGTTTTGTGTGTTTTTTGTGCCTGAGAGATTTCCCATCCCTCGCTTTCACACTGCCAAGGTGGGAACATGCAGCTGAAGTGCTGCCTTGGTGGGATGGAAGCTGAGCTGCAGCAGAGATTAGTGAGAGCTTTGTTTGAGGGCTCTGCTAATTAAATCCCATCAAGGAATGGCACTGCTCCTGGCAGGGAAGAGCTTCTCAGTTAACAGGCCCAGTAGAGGCCAAGGAACTGAATCTGTAGACTCAATGGTACCTGTTTGTCTTCCTGAGCACAGACAAGACCCCCTGAGGGCTGGTGCACTAGGAAACATCCTCCCTAGCCCTGAACAAACACAGCTAAATATCCAGAAGAGGAGAAAGGAGAGATCTTGGAGACCCTTAGAAAATAGCATTCCATTGATGAGCCCTGGTTGATGTGCTCACCTTCCCCTAGGCTGAGGCATTGCTGTCATTGTCCTTCTCAGAAAAGGACTTTTAGCGGTTCCTTTGCTACAGCTTTACCACAAAGAATCTTGTACTGCACAAATTCTTACTAAAGCTGTTGTTTGGTTTATTTTTCTGGTTCTCCTGCCTCTGGTACTGTCTGTTCTCCCATCCTTTGTCCAATTATTGGAAACATTTCTCACAAGCTTTAAACTTCTACAGTAGAGACACTTAATTTCTTCCTTCCTCTCCTTTCAAAATATGCTCAGCTATATCAACTTTTGTCCTTTTGGCTGTATCCCCAGTAGCTTATTCCTGACACAACAGGAGGGCCAGGATGTTGCATTATTTCTGCAACCATTTTGTCATGGCTGCTGGGAATATTGGCAGGGATGTTGTGTGGCTTGGAGTCTCAGTGCTCCCTGTGGCTGGAGACTGCATTTGAAGTCGGCTTAAAATCAGAATGGGAAGTTGTTGATTTGTGGCATTTTTTCCTAGGGTGTAGTGTTTTCCCTGTAAACTTACTTTGCATGGAAGGTGCACCTGTCAGAGGTTTGTCTTATGGCGTCACTTCCCTGAAGCATGGAATCTCCTGCCTTCCTCAATCCCCTCCCTGCAGGAAATACCATATGCAAAGTGAAAGTTCATCACAGGCTCTTAAACTATTCATTGTCTTCATTAAGACATTTGGAATATGTGCGTAAAGCCTTGTAAATGTTAAAGAATCCTTACAAGTGAGAAGGAACAAGGCATCCTCCCTTTCCAAGGGCTGCCTGGGCTGCTGAGAGTTCCTGCCATGGTGTAGGAGCTTTTAGAAGGGATGAGAGTAGAGCCCACTCCCCTTTCCCTGGAAGTTGCTCCCAGGATTACAAGTTCTGGCAGCAAGTTGGCTAAAGAATGGTGTGGTAAGCTGCTGGTAGATTTTGGGGTACAAATGCTTCTTCATCACAACCAGGACTTGTCTGCACCTTCAAACAGTTTTGCTACAGCATCAAGAGTTCCTTTTACAACTGTGAACAGCAACCTGAACTGAACAGCCCCAGCAGAGCTGCAAAGCCCCTCTGTCCATCCCCAGTCTCTCTTGTATCACCTTTCTACTGAAATGAGCCTTGTGTGCAGTCTGCCCAGGTTGTTGTCCCTCTGCTCCTGGCGGGAAATGGATACTTCAAACAATCTGCATTAGTTTCACAGAGGAGTTTTGGAAACTCCTCCCTTAGCAAGAAAAATGTGTTGGTTTTGTTCTAAAGTAATAGCTTATTTCAAGCTCATTTCTGAAACTGAGTTTCTCTGTGCTTTTAATTAAACCACTAAGAAATGGAATGTATGGAAATAATTAAAATTTACCAGGACTAGTAAGTATTGGGGTAAAAAAGTGAAGAAGTGATGGTATTCTTTATGAAAACAGTCTGTAAATTTAGTGTCTCCAGTCTCCCATGTACCTTCTGTCACAGCAGATCCTCCCCTCTGCCACAGTCTGCAGGCACTGGTGTGCCTGTGCTGCTCCCTTTCCCACAGAAACCCACAGCAATCTCCTGCCGCCAGGGGATCAGGCTAGAGCAGTAGCTGAACAGAAAAATAACATGCCAAAATATGTTGGTGGTGCAGTAATTCAGAGCAATCCCTATTCTGCATTTGACATGGGAGAAGCTCCTCAGACAACCACCAGAAATAACACTTGCTTAACAGTAGTTACTAGGTGGTTGACATTTTTCCATTTATATTTTTACTTTTAAATGAAGTCAGATTTGTTGAAGGATTTGTTGTGCAAAACATTTTTGTTTAAGATATGATTAATATTTTCAGGTTTTTTAAAATATCTGGTTCTGGGCTCATGTGTGTAGAGATAAGGACATAAAAGCCTTGATAAAAGTACTTATAAAATTGGACTAAAATACTTCTTTCCTAGTGTTTTAATGAAAAGAGCAATATTCATCTGTTCTAAACAAGTGATGTTGGAGGTCATAAGATACCAGCTGCTACGCAAAGAAAAAGCTCTTTCTAGAGATCTGATTTTCTAAAGGGGGGAGGGAGGGGAAGGGAAGGCAACAAAAGTAACCTGAGTGGGTAAGGGTCCATCCAGTTTGTCAGGAACGTGGGGACATCCCAGATCTATTAGACCTACCAAGGTGCAGGCCTGTGGATCCCACTTTCCAGTTTTATGTCCTAATTTCTCTTCCACTTGTTACTGTATTGGAAGGAGCAGACACACAAAAGCAGAGAACAAGCCCTGAGCAGGGAACAATCAGCTCTTGAGGCTAATTAGTCTGGGTCTCACTGTGATCAGCTTTTAGCACTGATGCAAAGGTTTTAATATACAAGGGCTTTTCAAAGGTTAGAGATGCAAATAGGTAGAATGTCTTCCTCAATCTACCTGCAGCCTTTGAACTTCACCTAACAAGAACACCCCGGGCAACATTTCTGCAGGTGACTGGAGATACAGGGAGGGTAAAAATTACTTTGGTGACTCATCTGGGAGACCAGAGTTAAGAGTCAATGTTACAAACTTTCTTTTTCTCTGTAATAATGTGTTGAGAAATGGTTTTTAAAAATTGGTAGAAAACCTATTTAAAAAACACAGTCACTTGGGTTGATGCAGTGTTTATTGAGATGCTGAACAGCTTACCCTTCCTTCCCCTCATCACCCAGAAGGGAGAGAGCTCCATTCAGTACATTGCCTCAGAAACCACAATTCTCATTCTTCACCCACAGGGTGGTTTTGGTGACTCCTTTTGGTATTGATGGGACCTTGGTATCTGAATAAATCATGGTCCAGAGCCCCTTTAGTCACCTCATCTGTGAGAAAGGACCTTATTTTCATCGTAAGACAGACAATATTAAGGAAGTAGTTTCACACTGGCAAATATTTCACTTTTTGAGGTAAATACTGATTTACAGTAGTGCCCCCTCTCCCTTCTCATCCTTGTCCTGTGCCACTGTGAATCCATCCCTTCACCTGTCAGTGCAGTGTTTGCACAGCTTCTCCCTGGGAGGGAGTGGAAGCCCAGCCTAGGCTCACAGGCAGACAGAACTGGTGGTTTGGTTTTTGCCAAGTTATTTTAAGCTGGTTGAGTTCCTTCACCACAGCCTTAGAGGAGCCACACCTCCAGTTTATGCTGACAGAGCTGAGGGAATGGTGTGTGGTGGGTTTGCCACCAGGAATTTGTCTTGTGAGCCTGTGCCAGGAGGGAAGGGACTGCCAAAAGAGAACACCCCCTGCCGTAAAGAGGCATCCGTGAGGAGCCTTCACATGAACAGAGACTAGACCCACACAGAACACAACAAAAATGTACCAACAAAGGGACATACTGCCAATGAACAGTTTAAACTTCTTTTTTTGTGTCTTTTTTCTTTTTTTTTTTTTTTCTTTTTTTTAATTAATGCACAGAAAGGGCTAAAAAAGTGAAACCTCACTGTACGGTCAAGTGGAGAAACAAGGAACTCCCATTGGGATGCTCCTTGTCTCTCCAGTCCCTTGGGAATGGCTGGTGTTTTCCAGGAGAATAAGAAACTTGCTGTGAAAGGAGGGGAATTCAGGAGGGTGGCAGTGGCTGTGGGCTGCTGCAATTCTGCTCTCCTGAAGAGCTTATTGCCTGGTTTATTTTTGCACCCCTTTCTGGCATTACAAAAGTGTGTTACAAATTTTACAGAGGAAAGGGGGAAAGGAAGAAAAGGGGAAGGGCACAGATATTCTGGCCTAGGACTCTGCAGTTCTGTTTGTCCGTGCATACTCTTCCAGCTCTGATTTCCTATCCATGGCAAGTTGCAGCTCCTGCTTGATGATTTCGATCTGCTTGTCCAGCTCTGTCAGCTCTTGCAGCACTGAGGTCCTCGCAGTGTTGAGGGATTCTGCTTTCCCATTGGTGGTTAAGGAAGGCGGAGGCTCTCTCCTCCCCTGTGGCAGGGGGATGTCCTGGTGCTGATGGATTGTCACCTCATTTTGCCCCTCATCAGTGCAGATGTATTTCTTTCGGTGGCAGTTGCCCAGATTGGCTGTGTTCCACACTGCATGCTGGCTGTTCCCCACATGGGCCCTGAACAGAGAGAGGAGAGTTAACACCACATCAGAGCCTGCTCTTGTGTGTGTGCAGACCTCCCCTGTGAGCCATCCTACTGGAAAAAATATAAGGCTGCTGTTACATGTTACATAGAAATATTATTCTTTTATCCCTGGAATTATTTTTTCTTGCAAAGCACAAATCATGAATGTAAATGACCAAATTTTTGTGATTTAACCATAGCAGAGGCTAGAATAGAACCCTGGATGTAATCCTCCCCAAAACGTTTCTTCAGTTATGAAATTACTCAGCTGCATCTCAGGAAAATCTGAGTACTTCAAAGCCTCTGAAAGCTTTTGTGGTTGCAATGTGCAAGTTTAGTACAGTGTTAGTGCTTAGCATGTAACTACTCTGTCCTGACTTGGGCATTTGCTCTCACAGAGAAGGAAAGAGACTCCCTAGAGCTGCTGTGGAGAGCTGGAGGGGGAAGGTTTGTCCTTTAGTTTTGAAGTCTTGTTGGGAAGCTGCTTGTGCTCTGGGGACACACAACAATGATGTTTATCCAAGCCCTGCAGGTTCATTCCTGAGCTTCCTGACACGACACAGAGACTTTGGGGTTGTTGTGTTGGGGCACAAATTTCAGTCTGGGAACTTTTTTAAATGCTTCAAATTTTTTTCCTGCAGAAATAATTGCATAATATTTTGATTCCAGAGAATATTTTCCTATACTTTTTAGGGAATTCCTTTTGCTGCTCTCCCAAATCAGGCCAATTCCCAGGATTCCTTCCCAAACTGTGGTGTAGCCCATGGTCTCGTCTCCACTCTCCAGCTGGAACAGAAGGAAGCAGAGAGTTTGCTATTGTGGGAGAGGAGCTTCTCTTTCCTGCCTGCTTTCCCTTTGGGACAGGTTGGTGTGTGCTCATTTGATAAAGGCAGGTTTAAACTCTGAAGGAGTTGTGTTTCAAAGTGCTCCCTCCTCGAGCTCTTCTGTGGGTATCCTTGGACAAAAGGCCTCTTGGTGGGAGCTCCCAGTGGCAGGTTAAGGAAGGAGGTTGATATTTCAGGGCTGTGACTGCTGATAGCAGTTGGTTTAAGGGGTGGATACTTTTCTCACCTGCCTGCAGTAAAGGAACTTGGAAAGTGAAAATTTTGTTCAAGGAGGTGGTGATTGGGGGTGTTTTCCAAGAGATGGGCTGGCAGAGAGAAGAGGCTGGAGAGGAGGTTTCAGGTAGGAGCAGCAGCTCCTGCCTGGATCATGCTCCAGAGAGCTCAGGGAATCCCAGAAGGGATATGTATGTAGAGTTATTTTTGTGCAGAACAGCTATATTCTCATATTTCAAAATAAAAGATGGGAAGACTGCAAGTCTGGACAGTTGATTTTAACAAATGCCAGAGTCCATAGTTAGCACTCCAGTTTCACCAGGACAGTAAAACCATTCACAACTGGGCTACTGATGCTGAGCAGCTTTTGTAGTTTTTGATGACCTTAAGAAACCCAACAGATTTTCCTCCATGAGGATACCAGCAGTAGCATGATGCCAATTTTTCCCACCTCTTTTCTGTATCTTTGGTCCTTCTAAGAGTTCCTCAGGGAATCCCAGCAAGAATGAAAGCACATGTGATAACGTAATTTGAGAGCTCTGTGTTGTGCTGATGCCTCAGGTTTTAGCTTTTATATTTTTCAGATTCTATTCTGCTTTAGTGTGTAAGCCTATGCTTCATATTAGAGGATAGTAAGCTCTCTTCACAGAATAGGTAAACAAAACAATTCCTGCTCTAGATGGGGACCAAGGACAGCTGATCCAGAACTCAGGCCCAAGAGCATAAACAACGGTGGACTGAAGAGAGAAAACCAAGAAGGATGGGACTTCATAGGCTAAAGCTGTAATTGGACAATTAGCTCCAATATGCTAGTGGACCAAAAGTTATAAAAGTGTGAGACTCTGTGACCTGTCATCCACTTTTGTGGCCATTTTGGGTTGTGCTGCCCAAGGTGGATCTATTTGAGACCTCTTAATAAATACCTACTTTATTCTTTAGCTCCATCTAGTCTCTGTTCTAGGTCAGCCTTTACAAGGCGTCAGTGCCTTGCCTCATGAGTGTTCATGACAAGCTGGACACCCCACTCATGGCTCTGTTGAGTTAAATTCATCCCAATTCTGTGCAAACAGCAGCCCCGAGGTGCTGAGAAGAGCAGGGACAGTGGGTGGGGGTACATGCACACACCTTGGGGATGACTGCTGTGTGGGCAGAAGGTTTTGGACTGCTGTACATCCTCACTCTCCCAAGCTGGAAGATTATTTGCATGGATCTTTTTCTAAGCTGTTGCCTGGGGGGCTTATGCACCATCTCCTCCTGTTCCACCCAGCAAGGAGGGTGCAGCAGGAGGAAACATTTTGCAGCATTTATGGCCTCTTCTCCTGTGCACAGATCAAAAGCCAGGAGTGGCTGTGTGCAAAGAGGTTCCGTGCATGGTATTCTTTGATAAGATGAACAGAGAAGATCAGTTGCAAGCATTTTTAGACACTTGCGTATATAAAGGCAGCCTAGGAGCTTAGAGATGCTTACTCATTTGTATTTGCTGCCTTTATCAGAGGAATATCAAAGAAACACAACATACATTGACATCTCTAGGTTTCAGTCAGGCCAAACATCCAGTAATGTTCTGAAAGACTTTTTGTATTCTATACTCTGTGCCTGAAGTTCTCTGTAGAACAGCAGTGCTGCTGTCTGTGTCTTTACAATGTGCACCAGTAGGGTTGAGTTGCTGAGCATGTGCACAGCTACATGCAATGCCTTGTGTTCCTGGAAGCTGTACATCCCATTGTCTCCTCTGCAGAAGACACAGGCTATGAAAACAAGGCCAAGTTGTTACCTACTTTTTTCTGTCTCAGGACTTGTTAGACATAGTATTTTTTCAAAGGACTGCATTTGCCTCTCCTCAGCTTTCTTATTTCTCATTCTACAAAAGAGGACAGCTGAAGGAGTTTCAGGCATGTGAGTGCCTGATCTCTCTTTCCATCTAAAGGCTCTGCCTCTCAGAGCCCTGGTTACCTGCCAGTGCTTTGGTAGGGGAGTCATTCATTCCCTAAACTTCATTCCCTAAACACAAGGGCAGTGGACTTCAGCTGCAAAGTCTCTCTTTGGAATGGGAGGTTTTTTATAAGCTGTATGCAAAATCATGAAAGAACAAGATTTCTAGATTTAATACTAGAAAAAATAATTAATTTCTGCCTCCCTCATTTGTCACTTCTATCTGGTTTCCTTTTTTTTTTTTCTATTACCTTTGGGGCATAACTGTATATCCAAACAGAAGGCATTTAATTTCAAAGTAATTTTTATCGTCTGTGTTTTAAGGCATGGAGAACTTCCTACCTCTTTTCTACTCGTTTTTTCTTAGGCTGATGTTTTTCCTCAATAAATGAACTGTTCAGAGCACGATGTAATCTCTAGAGAAAAAAGAGAAGCATAAATTAGTAAAAGTAAGATTAAAAATGGCTCCAAAAATAGGTAAACAATTTGGGCTTTGTCTGATGGACTTGAGCATAAATTATTTTGCACATTGAAGGATACAAGCAATTGTCTGTGCTTTGTCATTACAACAGATTTATTTTCCTGTACTTTCCCAAAGAAGGGTAAGCTGAAATGTTGATTAATAGTTTGGGAACAATCCTTGATGTTAAATTAGTTTTAAAAGATTTCTTCCACTGTGCTGCTTTAAAGCAATGGAAATTCTTCCCTTTTGTGCCTTTTGCTGCAAAGTAACTTCTTCCTTTAGAGCAAACACCCAGAGCAATTCTGTCCCATTAGTTTCTCTGGAATAATGAGGGAGGTTACCCAGCATTTCATGCATGCCTCACAGGTTTGGGAACCTGTAAGAGTGAAATAAGATGTTCTGGTTTGCCAGTTCAGGATAACAACATTGTTGCTTCCATATCCAAAAGAGCTGAGCTATGAGGCTACAAGCACAAATAGAAGGATCTCTCTGTAAGCTTTGCAACAGAATATTTAAATAATTTCCTCTGTGCTTCCCATTCCATCCTTAGGTCAGCCTCTTCAAGCTCCAGAAGCTACTGTCACCATTCCAATGCTGTCAGTGCTCTTACAACATTTCATACCTAGTTCTTGTCCAGGCTTTCTTAGTCATCCACACAACTTTCACAGGGTCCCTTCAGAACACATACCTGACTGGTATGGAGCCAGTACTTCATCTTGGATTTCTTCTTGATTCGTGGCAGGACCAGTCTGTACACGATGTGTTCCCCAATGGTGGTGAGAATGGACAAACCAAAGCCAACGCACAACATCACAAAGAGCCCTGAGAAATGCTTTATCCCCATCTGCAGTGTCTGTGAATAAAATCAAAAGAGAAAGTTAAGGCAGGAGGTTGTTAGTGTGCCGAAGCAGATGCTTTGTTTTCTCATGTGAAAATGTGGTCTGACTGAATACAGAGTGGTGAAATAATGCAGAATAGTATGGATAGAGTTCACAGCAAAGCCTTTCTGTGCTGCTTGGTGTTCAGTCAGAGCAAAGGATCTGTCATGGGAAGAGAATCAGCCAAACACCAGGGAATTTGAGCTATTCCCCTAATGAGGTGGAGTGTTAAACATGTACAAGAATACGGTCTCTGCAGTGTCTTTGCATTTGTAAAAGCAAGTACTGCTTGACAGAATGTAGTCAATGAACTGTAAAGCAAGTCCTTCATCAGCAGTGAGCTACTGTTGTATGAGTGTTTGTATTTTCAGGGAATTGATTGTGAACTTTCCCTTTTTGTGCTTTACCCTTGATGGAGGGTCATGAAGAAAATGTGAAATAAGTAGTACAAACATGGCACCCCTCCACTCCCTACATTAACAGGACTGAAACTGTCTTTGTTAGGAATTCTGACTGCAGCCATGGAAAACAGGAACACTCACACCTTTTTCTGCCAACCCACCATTTTCATGTAGGATAGGAAGCCTTTAATTAATTTGTCTTATTGGCATTAATCATGTTTGAACGCCAAGAAATGTGTAGAGCAGAAATCTGTACCACTGATACCTGCACTGCAATGTGTGGGTGAAGTATGCACGTAGTACCTTTATTCTCAGGCCTTCATAACTAAGTTTATAAATCACTAAAATCCCTTGTGAAAAATTACTGCCCACAGATTACTATGGAAATATTTCCAGGAATATTAAATCCAGTTATGTTTTTCTATTAAACAATGTTATTTGCCAAG